CATGCCAGTGGGACACTTTCCATGGCCTCTTGGCTGTTGCCTTCCATGTTTCTTGCGCTGACCCTGCAGGATCTGTGTCCTGCCAGAGGAGGCTCCTCCATCAGAACCCCTCCAGGTGTCAGGTTTCGTGCATACCTGTGGGTCCATGTGCCAGTTCACCTCCTGTCCTAGCAGGAACAGTGGCCTTTCCTAACTGGCCTTCATCCCATTCTGGTTCTTGCTGTAGGATGTTTCAGCCCAGCCACTGCTTGTCCACACCTCCATATGGCTCAGTTGGGGTTGGGACCTAGCCTAGTCTGTCCCACATCTACCCTGGTCCTCCAAAGCACCAGAAGGTGTTGTGGTCTGGCCCAGCCCGGTACGTCTTATTCCAGTCCACACTTGTGCCAAGGGAGATGACAATTGTATCCAGACCAACCACAGACCCATCCACCTGTCGCAACCCTTGCCTTAGACACCGTGGCTCAACTCTGTGGTTAATGTGGACCAGTTGGAGCCAAAACCTTGCTGGGCATTTCCTGAGCTCCACCCTGTGTTCCAATCATGCTTCTGGACTAAGGTTTGCTTAGTCCAAACCTTCAGGTCTCAGCCCCACACTTGCATTAAGGATTCATGTCTCCATTCCTGGAAATTCGTGACTTACCTACACTAGCGCTGGTCTTATTTATGGGTGTTCCTAAGCAGCTATTTCATATCATCAAATCCTGAGAGCTCGCCGCTGGGTGGCCAGCAGGCAGAGCCTGGCACCACTTGGTGCACTGGCAGCCCAAGACCGAGGTCTCTGCCCCTCCCCCCCACCTTGTGGCGAGGGGCTGTAGCCGAGACCCCGGCGGAGTTCTGTCTGGCAGGGGCGCCCCCGACAAGAGCCGCCTTGAGGAGGGTTAAGCCTGCCCCTTGCCCTGAGACCGGAACCCACCCTACCTGCCCTGCCGCCAGGTTTTGGCTGGCGGGGGGCAGGGCTGAGCTAGGAATGTACCCCAGCTGCCAGCCATCTCTCATGGGTACTCACCCATGAGCGGCTTTAGGTGCTCCCTGGCCCAAAGTTTTTTTTATATATACATTTTATAGGTAATGTGACCCAGGATTACAGATTTCTAAAACAGCCAAATTACTTTGGGAAAATTACCTGTGTGAGTTTCAGGATGCCCAACAAGTCCAAATATATTATTTCCAGTTGGTCTGAAATTTAAATGTGATATTATACATAAATATTCTGCATAGGGGCTGGCCACTGCTGGTGCTCTTCTTTGAATCCAGCCCCCTGCTAATGGCCTGAGAAAAGCAGAGGAAGATGATCCAACTGCTTGGGCTCTTGCTACCCCTGGCTCAGCCCCAGCCATTGTGGCCTCTGGGGAGTGAACCAACAGATGCAAGACCTCTCTATATGCAACTTTAATGTTTAAATATATATATATGTATCTTTATATATATTTATATATATAAATACTTAATTAAAAAGTCCTTTATACTATCCTGCATAGAATCAGCATTCAGTAAATGATAGCCATTATTAATAGTAATAATTTGAAATATTTCTAAGAGGTGTAGAATGCTTTGCTTTTTTTTTTTTTTTTGCCTATGCTATTCATGGGAAAACTTGTATATCTCTTTAAGGTACAGTACCCTCAGAAAACAAAAGCTTCTTAGTAATACAGTAAGTGGAAATCTAAAGTTAATTGTGCATGAAATATATTGTATTCATTCTAATCACTGAATTTTCTCTGGTGTGTGTTTCCTGTGATGGGGAGACATAAAAACTGCTTACAAGGTGGGAAGTTCAACAAACCTGTCAACAGTGAAATTGTTTTCTGTCCAGATATGACTAAGAAAATATGAAGGAGGAACTCTCACTCCTGAACATCAGAGGCCATTGTTTTGTCTTTTTTTTTTGAAGAAGAAGAGAAAAGCTTCATCTTAGGTTTTCCTTTTTGAGTATATCTGGGTAAATTGGATTTGGCTCTGTGTTGCCTTTCTCTCTCTGTTTTCGCGTGTGGCATTGCTTCTCCAGGGGCCGCTGAGTGCTGGGAGGGAGCAGCTGCCTTTGCGGTAAACACTATAGTTGTTGGCACTGGAAAAAACATCCACAGCAGGCAGGCTGCTTTGCTTTTCTACCGGCAGAGTCTCCTGAGTGTTTAGACAGTGCCATGAAAGGCCTGGCTTTAGATTTACTCTTACATATATTAAAATTTGTGGCCTTTAAAAAAAATTTGGGATATGATTTTCTGTCTTAAAATAATAGTACCATATATTCTGGGATGTCAAAAGTGTAGGACCATAGCTAAAAAGCAGACATATCCGTAAATGTAAAACAGTTCAATTTTCTGTGTGTTCAAGTACTTGCTGATCCAAAAATGTTTCTAACCTCCATCACTGTGAAGCCTGGAGCCCGTGTCAAGGGCATCGCACTTGCAGTTGACACACACCTAGGTGCTACAGTTCAGCACATCCACACTGAGCACCACTGTATGCAAGCTATGCATAAATTAGCTGAGATAAACCAAGAGGAAGGGAACAGTTCCTGCCCTCAAGTTTATTTGTCTGTTCAGTAGATGGTTGCACTTACACTGATGTTGCATGCCCAAGAAGGACTGGCTTTCCCGTGCTGTGCTAGGGTATAGATGTGATTAGAGACAATTCTCTTGTTTATTTGTTTGGGAGATAGTTACAGAGGGCGGGAGAGAGAGAGAGAGAGAGAGGAACAGCTGGGAGAAGGGGAGGAGGGAGAAATTGATTTCAGTCCACAAATTCACTCCCCAGGTGGCTATAATGATTGAGACTTGGCCAGGCAGGAGCCAGGAATTAAGAACTCCTTCTGGGTCTCCCACATGGGTGCAGGGCCTCAGCTACTTGGGCCATCTTCTGCTGCTTTCCCAGGCACAAAATCAGGGAGACGGCACTCAAACAGGTACTCAAATATGGGATGCTTGCATGGCAGACAGTGTCTTACCCCACTGCACCACAATGCTGGCTCGAGAATTTTTTTTTTTTTTACCCCGATGCCATAGGGGTCAAGACAGTAGGATTAGACCAGGATGTAAAGAGGCTTTCTGGAGCTAGAAGTGAGCCCCGTGGGGTGACAGCAGTCATGTGAATGCTGGGCTCGGGACACACATCATGTCCTTTTAAATTTTGCTTTTATAAAGTTCCTCCTTTCTAGTTCATGGTAAATTAGAGAGATTGGAAAATATAGCTAGCAAAAAAATATAAGCATGCTAAGCAAAATAGTATTTTTATAACCTGGTTTTGCCACTTAATACATTTTCCACATTTCCTCTCATTAAATATGCCTTTTCACATTATTCTTAATGACTATGTGACTTCCTTAACCGTTTCCTTTGTAACTAAATTAGGTAAGAAAATACAGACATGAGAAGAATCAACCATGAAACAATGGGAGCAGTAATGGGAGATATGCAGTCTAGGCAGTGAGTACATTTTTGTAATGCATGCCTGATTCTAACGGCAGAAAACAGAAAGGATGGGCTGTTCTGAGCGACAGAGAAGTGGCATGTGGCAGTCAGTGGACATGACACAGTGACCTTGATGAAGAGCAGGCACTGACAGGATGAGAGCAGGATTGAGGGGTAGCTTGGGCTGTCCTTGTGACAGCCTGGGACTGTCCCAGCTTTACCCCTAGAGGTCCAGCATTGAAGGAGCTTCCTTCCAGTTATAAGTGTTTTTATTCCATCCCTTAAGTGTTCACTTCCTTATGCTGTCCTGTTATAACTGTTGTGTCTTTAGAGGTGCATGGCTGTAGCTTCAGGTGTTATTTTCAAAGCCCCCAAATTAGGTGTTGATGAGAAACTGCTCCCAACCATGTGTTCTGTCTTTTACGCTTGGGTGACTTCCAGTGTTAACCCTGACGTGGAAGAAACGATGAAGGCCGTAGATCATTAGTGCTGGTAGAGTGTAGGTCATAAGTTATTAAATAACAGGAAAAGAAAAAAAAAAGCCAAAACTGTATGGGCTATAATGAGTTAGATGACACCAATCAAGAAGTTGATCTAAAATAAAAAAACTTGTGGGAGTCTATGTTTTTAGATCATATTTCAGTGAATCCAACCAAGTTAAAAATTTCACTGCATATGAACAGATGGCTCAGGGATTGTGTACACTAATATGTTTCTGTGCAGTTGGTCTAAAATTCAAGTTAAAACGGAGATGTAAATATTTATGTCCTCTGCAGTAAAGAAAAAAAAAGTTCCTGCTACGTAATAACCTTGACACGTTCACAGCATCGTGTTTAATGGGCCATCCAGAGCTCTGATGAATACCACAGTGTGCTCTGTTTTTTGCATTTTAGGAATCTGGAAAAGCTGTAGGAATAAAATGTCTGTTGTAAAGTTTCTGCATTGAGATCAACTACTGCTCCCTTGAAGTGTAGCAAAAGGTCAAAGACTGTACTTTTTTATTAACTGAAGTCAAAATTGAATGTAAAGGATTTTTAAAAAAGATTTATTCATTTATTATTGGAAAGTCAGACTTACAGAAAGAAGGAAAGACAAAGAGAAAGATTTTCCATCTGCTGGTTCACTCCCCAAATGGCCAAATGACTGGAGCTGCGCTAATCCGAAGCCAGGAGCCTGGAACTTCTTCTAGGTCTCGCACGTGGGTGCAGGGTCCCAAGGTTTTGGACCATCCTTGACTGCCTTCCCAGGCCACAGGCAGGGAACTGGAAGGGAAATGGAGGAGCCAGGATACAAACTGGCACCCATGTGGAATCCCAGCACAGGCATGACAAGGATTTTAACCACTAGGCTACTGCACTGGGACCCATGCATAAAGGATTTTTTAATAACTTTTCAGAATTAGCGTTTGCATCTTTACTACAAGGAAAGACTTTTAGCCTGAGTCCCACATAAATCCTCCCCACCCAAAGAAACTAATAATAATAAACTTTATCATTTAAATTGCAAGTACATATATCTAAATATGTATACACATATTTTCATGTCAAACATGTTGTGGTTTCATAAATGTATTTTATTTTTCTCCAACAGATAAACAATCAGATCCTTTATGGAAGAAGTCACCAAAATGCCTCCGCCATTATCAAGACAGCTACATCCAAAGTCAAGCTGGTTTTCATCAGGTGAGATAGGTCTGGCTTTCGACATCTAGAAATTCTTCTGGATATGTTATTGTTTTTGCAGGCTTATCTTATTTTTGTTGTGGCTACAAGACCACCATCTATTCTAGTAATACATTTCCTGTGTGTCACTTTGAGCACGTGTTGTTTTGATTGTGAGGATGGCAAGGGATCCCTTGCCATTTGCTTTGTATGTCTCACCCGGCAGAGCTGGAGGTGAGGCTAGGGCTTCCACTACAGTTGTAAGACCTTCTTGTCTGAAGGCAGATATTTGGTGCCATTATGAAGACACCAGGTAGGATGCTTACATCTTGTATCAGTGACCGGGTTTGAGTCCTCACTCTGCTACTGCTTCCTGCTAATGCACAGCCCAGCAGGTGATCCCTGCCACCCAGATGAGAGATCCAGTTAACATTTCCAGCCTCTGACTTCGCTCTTGTCCCAGTCAGTAGATGGGAGATCTCCCTGTCTCTGGGCACCACCCTCCATGTATATGTCTTTCAAATGGCTAAAATAATAAATAAAATTCATAAGAACTGTTCCCTTGCTGCATCTGGTTAGCCTGTATATAATATAATGGCACCCTCTAACTTTTCCTGTCACCATTGTTTGGTATACTTGTTCACAACTCAAAGAAAAATGGAGGGAAAAAATCGAGGAAACATTGAGGGCTGTCCCATTTAAAGGGCAGATCTCCACCCTTTGTCCTGAAGCAGGCAGTGCAGGGAAGGTTACTGGCCCACTCCTGACATGTTTACCCTAAGGAGTCAAAGGACCACCTCAAATAATCCCTGTTTCAAGTTAAGAGTCAGGGCAGGAGCGCACTTGCAGGCCCGATGCTGCTTAAAGTAAGGTCAAAATGCTTCATACAATGTGAGAAAACAGAACATAAGGGCCCTGCACAATAGCATAGCCACTAAAATTCTCACCTTGAACATGCCAGAATCCTCTGTGGGCCACTGGTTCTAATCCAGGCTGCTCCACTTCTCATCCAGCTCCCTGCTTGTGGCCTGGGAAGGCAGTTGAAGACGTCCCAAAGCCTTGGGGCCCTGCACCCGTGTGGGAGACCCGGAAGAAGCTCCAGGCTCCTGAGTTTGGTTTAGCGCAGCTCTGGTTGCTGAGGCTGCTTGGGGAGTGAATCATGTCTCTCCTGTTCTCTGTGTATCAGACTTTCCAATAAAAATAAAATAGATGTTTTAAGAAAAAGGTACGTTTTCTCATATCACATGGTTTAGCTGTTGTAGCCCTTTGGGAAATGAACCAGCAGAGACAGGATCTCACTTCACTCACTCAGCCATTTAAGTAAATAAATAAATCTTTTATTGAGCAATGAACTAATGGAGCAGGTAGTAAGGAGTGGCCAGTGATATTGAAAAGGAATATAGTCTGCTGGAAGATGGGCTCCTAGGGTCAGTAACCTTTCTCCTTCTGTCAGTGTTTATGTTGTTTTTTTCATGATGGAAAATTTTAAAATATGAAGGAAAAAAATGTTAGGGTAAATCAGGGCAGAGATGTGTGCTGTGCTCCCCTAAAATTCTGTTGTTTAGGAATCCTGAAGCCCCCCAGAACCTTGCCTGATGGCTGACTGAGCCCTCACAGTGTCAGCTGATAGAAATTGGAAATCCTTACTGTGTGAGTCGCCTTTGTGGCCACATCAGTCGTGGAATGAAGGTCTGTCATCTAACTAAAACGACAGGTGGAACTGCATTGCTTGCAGGTGAAGTCACTTTTTCTGCTAATCTGTTCTGAGTCTTTTCCCTCCGGCTCTCAGCATCTTTAACATGGGGATGATGGACTACTTACCTCATTTATTGTCATATTCCAGAAACTTAAAGAACTCAGCACCAAGTCTGGTGTAGAGTAAGGGCTGAAAAAATGTTAACTGCGGTTTCATGATGGTCAGGGTTGTTTTTCTTCTCCCTTTTTCTCATTAGTCACCATCAGTAAGACCTATCCATTCCATGAGACCGTTAGGAGTCGGGAGAAGTTTTCCTCCCAGGCTGAGCTTTGTGTGATGGAAGCACGCGCTGCCTCACGAGTTCAGCCTCACCTGGTGTGGCTACCTTGCTCAGGAGGAAATGTTAACTTGATGCCCCTGTCCACCACCCAGGGTACTTTATGGCTTTGCACTTTTTTTTACTTTTATTTACAAGGAGAAACCTTCACTGTTGCGTGTTCTTGTTCATTCTAACCCTTTGATTTCTTTGTTGTTCCCATTGTTGAGGTTTACAAATTATAATTAATAGTGAAAACACAAGCTTAAAAAAAAGTGAGCTGTGTCTAGAGAATCTGGGCAGGTGGCATGTTGAAGTTCACACATTCATATAAAGTATGTGCAGATGTTCATGACACTTAACAGTACCTGCACCTAGATGTAAATTGAGTCCATGGTGGTACTGCTGGTCTTGATGTTGCTGGCTGACGAGAATCCTCATAATAGTAGTAAGACCCCGTCCATTGAGTGTCTGGCTCCAGTTTCAGTTGTTGAGAACAAAATAAAAACAGGGAGGGATTTTTTTTTCATTATGTCTGTGTATGCAACGTGGAGGATGCTGTTCAGTACTTATTTATTGGAAGTGAATTTCATTGCTTGGGAAGGCGCAGTGTACATTTTTAAACCCTGTGACCTAGTTACGGGCTGTCTCAGTCTGTTGAGTCTGCTGTAGCAAAGTGGCCTCTAAACAATAGAAGCTTGTCTCTCATAGTCCCGCAAGCTGAAAAATCCTGGGTCAAGTTCTGGAAGACGCGATGTCTGGGGAGGTCCCACTTTCTATTTCATGAAAAGTGTCTTATTGGATCTTCATGTGGTGGAAGCAATTGGGTCTGTTTCATAAGGACATTGCATTGATGAGAGCCCCTCTCACCATGGTCTTTCTGCTCAAAGATGCTCTCTATCAATAATTTCACAATAGGTAATTAGACTTCAATAAATGGATTTTGCACACACACACACTCAGACCATAGAAAGAAACTTTCATTATCATTAAATCACAGTGTCCAACATACAGTGCACAAAGATTTATTGAAGAAGTTTCTTTTCAGCTCTTACCAAGCATCTCATATTTTTTATTCTCCATAGGTATTTGGCTAATGCTGCAATTGCTGCAAGGGAAGGAACTGTTTATCTGACCCAAAACTTCCCCCGACAGAGAGCAATTCTTTCCTTAATCCTGGCAGAACTCTGAGGCTTGGTTAATAAGAGAGCCTGGATTCCCCTTTGCGGGCTTGGGATGCAGACCTAACAGAGTGCAGCTGTGGGAGCTCAGTCAGGTCCTGGTCCTCAGCTGCGATTGCTGCAGCCATTTTGCACTTGACAGTTTTTACCTGACCATGTGGGCTCAACAGGGTTTGTGGCTAAGGTGTTGATCCAGTGATGGTGGAGAAACGCCAGGTGGAAGGAGGAAGAAAGCAAGGATACCATGAGGAGGGCGACACGTGTAGCATACCAGTGAAAACACCCCTGAGGCTTCCCTTGTCTGAGCGTCTGGGCTTGCAGAACACCTCCTCTGCCACTCCAGCTTGCTGTCCATGTGCACCTTGAGACGGCAGCAGGTACTGGCTTCCATATTTGTGTCCCAGTCTTCCCATATGCGAGACTCAAACGGAAGTTCTGTACCCTCTTACTTTAGCCTTGCCTAGTCCCGGTTGTTGTGAGTTGGGGGAGTGATCCAGTGGATGGAAGGTCTCAGTCTCTACCTTTCAAATAAAATGGAAAGAAATAGAAAGGTATAAGTAAGAAGGAAAAAGAAAAATCACTTCTTCCTGCATATTTTGTCTAAGTCCCTGGTTTTGAGTATATTAATTGCAGGACATGCACAGGTTAAAAATGCTTCTGATAAGTTCATAATGATAGGATCTGAAGTTGTGGTGTAGTGGGTATAGCTACTGCCTATGTTGCCAACATCCCATATGAATGTCACTTTAAATCCCAGATGCTCCATTTCCAATCCAGTTCCCTACTAATGTGTCTGGGGAAAGCAACTGAAGATGGCCCAAGTGTTTTGACCCCTACCACCTGTGTGTGAGTTTGCTGTGGCTCTAACTTCTTGGCCATTGTGGGTGGAAGATCTCCTGCCTCCATCCCACTGCCCCTTCTCCCCACTCCATTCCCTCTCCCTCCCTTTCCCCCTCTTCCTGCCTCACCCTCCAGCTCCTCTGTCGTTTCCTCTCTTTCTCCTTCTCCCCTTCTTTCTGTAACTCTGACTTTCAAAAGAAATAACTCCTAAAAGAAAATTATGATTGAGCCCTGAAGGAGATAGCTGTGGACATGATATCAAGGTACTTCTGTAAAGTATTTAGGACATGAGATTGGGAGAGAGGGAAAATTGTTGTTTTTCTTTTTAAAGATTTATTTATTTTTATTGCAAAGTCAGATATATGCAGAGAGGAGGAGAAACAGAGAGAAATATCTTCCTTCTGATGATTCACTCCCCAAGTTACCATGGTGGCTGGTGCTATACTGACCCAAAGCCAGGAGCCCAGCTCCTCATCTGGGTCTCCCTTGTGGGTGCAGGGTCCCAAAGCCTTGGGCCGTCCTTAACTGCTTTCCCAGGCCACAGGCAGGGAGCTGGAAGGGAAGTGGAGCTGCCAGGATTAGAACCAGCAGCCATATGGGATCCCAGCCATAAAGTTCAAGGCAAGGACATTAGCTGCTAGGCCACGGCACCAGGCCCAAGAGGGAGGGAAAATTGTGGTATGGAAGATGAAGCTAACACTCGGAAGGTACCTGTATGTCACCCCATCCCATATGGGAGCCCATTTGTGTCCTGACTACCCTACTTCTTTTTTTTTTTTTTTTAAGATTTATTTGTATTATTTTTTCATTGGAAAGGCGGATATACAGAGAGGAGAGACAGAGAGGAAGATCTTCCGTCCGATGGTTCACTCCCCAAGTGAGCGCAAGGGGCTGATACTATGCCGATCCAAAGCCAGGAGCCTCTTCCGGGTCTCCCACACGGGTACAGGGTCCCAAAGCTTTGGGCCGTCCTCGACTGCTTTCCCAG